ACTTTAAGTTTAAAAAATGGCAGAAATGCATTAAAAACACGTCGGTAACTGTTTTTTTTAAATCTGTTGACAGTATGATGGCAGAGTGATGATTATCTAGTGGTGTTCTAACTGAATATAACGTGAGCGCCTTTTACATATACTTTTTAAGTACTTAGTAATGTTAAAAATCTAGGAAAATATTCTCTGTAATCTAATGTTTTATTGAATTTTAGATATTTTGTTTTAAATTTACTTAGTTATCGCTCTTATTTTCTGATATTGTCGAGAATGAACACCCGTCTATACAAAAGTCGGCGCGTTTATACACATACAAAAAATATTCAAAATTCTTTTAAAAATTTTGGTGTTTAATGATTTGTACTAAGCTTTACCGTTTACAATTAGTAAATATAGTTTTTACTAAATAATAATATCATCTAAAAGGGTGAAATCATTACAGAATTTTAAAAGATTTTAAACTTAATAAATTATTGTAATTATGATTTAAAAACAATTCTTGTAAAAATTCATTATCCATCGAAAAAATTTTTTTTCTTAATAGTGTCCATAATATATCTTATTTATAAAAGAAATTAAAAGCTTTTCTAATTAAATAATGTCATTCCATATTGTTTTTTTTTATTTTACGATTCAGAGCAGATTTTCTGTAAATGGTGTTTCTGTTTTTTAAAAACAAGTTGACGATTTAAATTCTCCAAAGAGTCCCACTTTTAACTAATATAAATATGAAGAAGCTGAAATTTAAATTTATCGAAATTTCATAAAATTAAGTAAATGTAGGGATAACAGATATAAAAAAATATTATTACCAAGATTTTCTAAAAAAAAATAAAATTTAAAAGAATTTATTCATTCCTGAATATAACTTGAAAGTTATATTTAAATCTGACAATTAATTGATTTTTGCAAGAATTCCCAAAACAATGTGTTTTTTACGCCAAAAAAGATGCTAAAATTTCCTATACTAATCAGTGACCTAACCCCCACCCCTGCTGACGCAAGAAAAACAAGATTTTTAACCAAAATTTCGAAGGCGCTAGAAAGAATAAAAAAATTAATAAAATAATTCAAAAATACTTTGGTCTTTCCTCTTAATAATAACATAAACATTTTGACGATAAAACTTTGTTTTTATCAAATTTGGTGCCTTTTTTTCATTATGGTATGCTCTTTATTCAGAGAATTAATTGAGGTAGCGAGTTAAAAACCAGAATGATCTAAGCTCATTAATCTTGTGGCGGTGAGAAACCAGTCAAAGAGAAGGAAATTCTGGATTCCAACGTGGATAAGAAGCAAAAATAAACCATCCTAATTTCATTCCGAAGAAACCATACCATTTCACAAATGATGACGGAAAGGAATCTGTGGAGAGCCAGTGCCGCCTGCACCTTGAAGAGACATGACATTTTTTTTTTGTCTCGATAGTAAGTGATCAGTTCGATAAGATCAAAATTAGCAGCTGATCTAAAAAAAAAAATGACCTACAGTTTGTTGTTGACTGGGTCAAGGAATCTGTTACGGGTGGATTTACAACTTGTAACCGGAAGTGGTTAAAACTTTAACCGGAAGTGGTTAAAACTTTAACGGGAAGAGGTTGAAAACTTTAAGCATAAATTATTTCAATATGTGGAGGATTTTTACAAATATATTTTCATGGGAAACGACATATATATATATATATATATATATGGAATCTCTGCAAATATCTCGAATTCACTCTCGCGTGGTCATGTGTGACGTCATAAGCTGCGATGCGATTTTCGCTTCTAGTGTCTTATATGCACGTGTTTATCGTTGCTTGGAAATCATCCATGTAAACAATCACAGACTATCATCACTGTCTTGTTCATATATTGCTTAATATGTTGTACAGTAATTGACATCTTTAATAATGGCTTATGTAGCCGAAAGCTTAGATTGGATTAAAAAATATGGATCAATATTGTGATTTTCTTTCTTCGTTTAATGATAATGTTATTAAGCTTATCAGACGTTATGAAAAGAATTTACATAAAATAAATAGACAACACTTGTCTATATTATTTAATGAAACATGTATGAATATATATATATATATATTAAAAAGAATGGAGAAATCGCAAACGTTTTTGGCTGTAATGTGGATTGTTTTAAAATATATATTATGCCTTATTTTCCATAATTTCGCAACACGTGTTTCTTCAGGCAAAGAGTGGATATTTCCACATATTATTCAAATGAATTAATTTTTCCTGTGTTTTTCGATATTCAAAATAGAGAGAAAATTCAAAATTACCTCATGAGTATAGTCTATTTCATGATGCCGAGTACGTCAGTTTTGTTCAAGCAGATGGATGTACTGTATTATATATTGAAATTTAAATCTCTAGTTCCGAATACAGTCAACCGTCTGAGTTGAATAAGACTGACGTACTCGGCATCAGTTGAAATAGACTATACTCATGAGGTAATTTTGTATTCTTTGTTGTGTAATTTACAGGCTCTGATTGTAATAAATTCATTTGTGGATCAGTTTTAATATTGTATTTTATTAGGACCCATTTGGATTATATACCAACGGATTGTTTACCTGTACCATATATATATATATATATATATATATATATATATTAAAACATTTTTATGTTTAGACGTTCTTTTTTATACATACAAATATTTAAGTAAATGCTCTGTTTTATAATAATCAGTATTAACAACATTTACCGACCTGAATGTCCGAGAAACTTTCATAGAAAATATGCGTCCCCCAACAGGAATCGAACCTGTATCATATACGGAACCGTCATATAGCCTGACGTGACTTTACCTATTTCGCCAAGAAGGGGCGTTTCGGGTAGCAATTTTACTGTTTTTAAACTACAATTTTCCATGATTTTTTCACGTACATTCATATCTGCTCGATGTGTATACAAATGTAAACAAATGACATGACACATTATGAAATGGACAAAGTCCGACAATTATTTTTTAAGACATTTTTATGTTTATACGTTCTTTTTTTATAAACATAAAAATGTCTTCAAATAATTGTCGGACTTTGTCCATTTCATAACACACACACACACACGCGCATATATATATATATATATATATATATATATATATATATATATATATAAATATATATAATGAAACGTGACGTCACACATTATATACATGAGCAGATATGAATGTACGTGAGAGAATCATGGAAGATTGTAGTTTAAAGGCAGTAAATTCGACCTTGCTAACCGAACGCTCCTCTGTGGCCAAATCGGTTAAAGGCAGGTCAGGCTATATGACGGTTCCGTATAGGATACGGTTTCGATACCTGTCGGAGGACGAATATTTTCACGGATCAGGTCGGTATATATATATCAAAAACAATTTTAGGGAAATCAATGAAAAAGTGGAAAAGTGTTTTGCGCTGCGCGTTTTGTTCCTCTATTACTATATCGGAGTAAAGTCATGTTTATGTTGATGCGAATACGCATGCGCATGAAAGAGAGCGAAAGACGGGGTCTTTCGCTGTAGTCTGATGAAGTCCTAATGTATGAAGCGCATTACAAGAAATTTTTTTCCATTAAATTTCCTAAAAAATATTTTTTTTATATAAAGAACAAATTTGCTGAAAAGATGGGTGAAATTATGTTCCCGTGTGTACACCAGCAGAGTTGACTGCGTGTGTACATATGTGTGTACACGTGTGTATGTGTGTGTATGTGCGTGAGTATATGTAGGTGTGTGAGTGCGTTTGTATGTATGTACGTGTATCTACGTATGAGTGTGTGGGTGTGTATGTGTATATATATGTATATGTATGTGTTTATGTGTGTGTACGTGCGTGAGTGTATATAGGTATGTGAGTGCGTTTGTATGTATGTACGTATGTCTACGTATGAATGTGTGGGTGTATGTGTGTGTACATGTGTGTATATGTACGCGTGTATGTGTGTGTACGTGCGTGAGTGTATGTAAGTCTGTGAGTGCGTTTGTATGCATGTACGTGTATCTACGTATGAGTGTGTGGGCGTGCGTGTGTGTGTGTGTGTACATATGTGTATATATACGTGTGTATGTGTGTTTACGTGCCTGAGTGTATGTAGGTGTGTGGTTGCGTTTGTATGTATGTACGTGTCTCTACGTATGAGTGTGTGTATGTGTACGTATGAATGCGTGTGTGTGTGTGTGTGTGATGCTCCATAGTGTGTGTGAAATTAAGAAATCAGTTTACCCAGAGGATATCAATCTCCCCCAATGGGGGTTATTGGACCAGCGGAACCCAGAGAGCACGGAAGGAAAAAATTAAAGGGATAAGCGTAGCGTGTTGGTACGCGCACTCTACGTGGTTTGATGAAATTAAGAAGTTGTCTTGCCCGAGGGGCTATCTCGTCGAAGGAAGTACAACATCTTGTACCTACCGTATCCTACGAACGGGAGAACAAAAAATAAATAAATAAGTAAATAAATATAAATAAAAATAAATAAATAAATATAAATAAATAGATAAAAATAAATAAATAAATATAAATAAAAATAAATAAATAAATAAAATAAATAAATATAAATAAAAAATAAATAAAAATAAATAAATATAAATAAAAAAATAAAATAAAAAAAATAAATAAATATAAATAAAATAAATGAATAAATATAAATAATAAATAAAATAAATAAATATAAATAAAAATAAATAAATAAATATAAATAAATAAATAAAAATAAATAAATAAATATAAATAAAAATGAATAAATAAATATAAATAAATAAATAAAAGTAAATAATTAAATATAAATAAAAATAAATAAATAAATATAAATAAATAAATAAATAAAAATAAATAAATAAATATAAATAAATAAATAAAAATAAATAAACAAAACGGAAGTCCTTTCTTTTTATACCGTATATTGCAATGACACCTAACCCTATCTCGGACTTTTCCTATCAATCTCAAACCGTTTATATCTCGGACTGTTTCTAACTTATTTTGTTCCTCTCTATAAACCATCGACAGTTCATATCTAATTGCAGTCTTTTTCTCACTTATCATTTCCTATCTCAGTCTATCTTTTGCTTTTCATTTCTTCAATCTCCGACTAACCATGTCACACCATCTTCGTCTATTGATGTTTATCAATCACAATACGAACGTGTTTCACCCTATTCTACTATTCCGCCATTCTTAGTTTACCCACCTTCAAGTCGTATCTACATCTGCTTGTGGGTATACCTACGTATAGTCTCTTCACATCTATCGATCAATTTATCTATCTATGTTTACTTATATGCTATCTTTTACTTGCACCGAACGACCCACAGGTGACTGAGTACAAAAGCCAAAAAGTATTTGAAACGTGACTTCAAGAACGAGTCAGTGCAAAAGCTAATGTAGATGCTAGGCAGAGACAACAAAGAAATGTAGATACCAATCTGTATAAGTACTTTTGTATACTAAACATCGCAAAAATAGACTACACTCTAGTAACATGGACCAATCCGAGTTTTTTTTTTTTTTTTTTTACTTATATACGTATATACTTATGTAAACTTCTCTATGTGTTTCTTTCATTCTCCGTGTGAGAACTGTATTTTTGCAATTGTAAATATATAAATCCATTAGTTTGGCTAGGTGTACGTTTATAAGGATATGAGACTATATTTCTGCCCGTGCCAAACAGCCTGATGCAGACAAACCCCAGACCCATCAGTGGTTGCGTAGAGCAGGTTTAAATGCTAAAACCGGAGGTTTTATTCTTGCTGAACGGGGCCAATGCTTGCTAACTAAGAAATTAACTTTTTGAGCTTTTTCAGACTAACGTTTTCCGATGAGATGGAATGGAAAGATCATATTGAATCATTTGCGAGGTCAATTTTTAGAAAAATTGTTTCCCTTTGTCATGCTAATTTTTTTTTTTTTTATCTCCAGAATCTATCTTACATATTTATAAGTCCTTGCTTTGAATATTACTGCCACATCTGGCCTGGTGTTCCTGCTATACATTTACAGATTCTGCAATATTATTGGTCCTGACTTGGCATCTCGGCTTCAGCCATTTTCCAACCACCATGAAGTGGTTTCCCTTTGTCTTTTCTATAAATATTTTCATGGTAATTATTCTGATGAACTTTCCTCTACTAATCTTATTTTCTTTAGTTTCTTGTAAATAGTTTTTGTATTCATATTGTAAATACTCATTGGGGTTAGTTTTTTTAGAATTGTTGTTTTATTCCCCTCCCCCCACAGACAATGGATTGTAAATATGGGGGACTAGTTAGTATTTTCATAGAGACAAAGAGGTATTATGGTGGTTGTAGTAAGAAAGGTACGTATGAATGTGTTGTTTTGGTGCAAGAAATATTGTTCGTACGATTGGGTCAGTGTTTGCGGCTAGCTAAGTTATAGTTAAGACAGAAGAAGACCGTCCTTTCCCCAATCCCCATTTCGGCCTTGTGCCACATTTCTGTAGAGAACAGAATAAATATCACTTTCCTCTACGGCGTGTAGAGTTTATGAATTCAAACGCAGTAATAGGTATTTATTCTGTCTTTCCACTTAGACAAGTTGTGACACAAGGTCTTTTTTAATGTGGGGACCCGAGCGCGTACACCCGGGCCAGGAACAAAAATTGCCGTCGGTTGCGTTGACCTCGGTACGAGCACCGATCACTCTGATGCAATGAGAGGCCGCAGCCTCGGACAGCTGTTCCCCAAGGCTGGTCATCTCTCAGTATGATTTTCCTAAGTTGCGACTCTGTAAACGCAGAGATTGGCGGTGAGGTCTCATTATTTTACATTTGAAGTGGCTAGATGTAACTGAAAGTTCCATGCTAACATTTTTTTTCTCACACTACTCGCTTGTGGAACTCTATTCTGGCTTCTTGCTTTCCCGTCAAGTTTGATCTTCAAAATTTAAATGAAATGTCAATTGTTATCTTCTGTCTTTTTCAATTCCTGTTCTTTTATTGTCCTATATCCGTAATGCTTTTCTCTTATATTTTTTTCACAGTCAGTAATCCTCTTGCGTGTTAGTGGCTTTGTTTCCTTACTTGGAGTGAGATGATTAAAAATATATTATTATTATTATCTTTGATTTCTGTTGTATACACATTTCCTTCCGGGCCCCAACCAAAAACTAAATATCAGAAATGGCTTCATGACATTTTTCCCTCATCAGTTTTGTAAAAAACAAAACAAAAAATTGAGATCACACACATTTTACATAGATAAAGATCTTCGTAATGTGTGAGTTGTTTTTGTGAGAACAAATTTTTGTATTTCTTTAAAGCATGGGCTACCAGAAATTCCTTCAATGTTGTTACAGTTTTTTGTATATATATATGTAACTAGGTTATTTATTTTATAACTTCGTACAAAATTGTGGCACGTGGCCGAATATATATATGTAACTAGTGAGTTAGTCAAAATGACTTAACTCCCTTTATAGTCTACTAATAGAAAGTTAACCAATCAGAAGCCGCAGAACATTCTATCCGTCGTGTATAAAGGCGGCCATTTTTGTTTACCATACCCGAATGACCAGTGCCAACTTGTCAGGCGAAGATGACAGAAGGAAGTACTACGCTCTGCTACTTTGCTGCGATCTCCACTGCTAACCTGCACTACGCTTTCCTACTGTCTCCGAAATATTCACTGCTAACCTCTGGATTCTATACTCGAAGACGACCGTCAAAATGTATAACAAATGTGTCTATCGAAACCTTTTCCAGTCAATCCAAGACCTCCAACTACAATTATTGAATGTCCTCCTGTGCCACATTTTTGAGATTTCAATTTCAAGATCCTTGTATTTTTTATAGTTTTTTTTTTTTTTTGAAGATCTTCAAAGAGTCTGTCTATATTTCTGAGATGAGGTATTATGTACAGTATTTACATTAGTCGGACTATTGTTCTCATCTTTGTCGCCATATTTGTCACAACGTTTCGGCCGTTGTACGCTCCGGCCTTCTTCAAGGACACATGGCACAGTGGATAAAGGCGTTGTTTAGGTCCAGTGACAGTACCCAAAGAGTGTGAGTTCAATACCCGGTTAAGGCAGTGGAAAACTTTCAGAGGGAAAATTAGCAGGAGATAACTGATAACTGACATCCATCAAACATGGCACTTGGAACTAGAACAGTCTACCCCAGTGATCGAAATAAAGGGTTCAGTTCGAAATTCCAACCACCTGAAGAAGGCCGGAGCGTACAACGGCCGAAACGTTGTGACAAATATGGCGACAAAGATGAGAACAATAGTCCGACTAATGTAAATACTGTATCTTCAAAGATACATTACAATCTGAAGGGGCTACCGTATCAATAAGAAAACACGTTCTGTTCTGCTCCTTGATCACGATGTCTGGGTGATTTGATTTTGATTGTTCTGTCTGTGTGTATTGTAAAGCCCCATAAAAATATTTACAGGTCCTAGTTCTATAACGTGGTTCGGTTGATGTTCATACCAATTCCCGGCAGTTTCCTTTCTATATTTTCCGGTGCAGATATTGGTCCACCCTATCACGCCGAGTTTTATATTCAGTGCAAGATAACCCCGTGCAGCCGGACACAAGATAGTTGTTTCTGGATATTTATCACACAATCTGTATTTCGGGACAACACAATTTTTCAATATGTGTGCTTGGTAATTTCTAGTTATTCGTCATGTGCAGCAAGAACACAACCTTTGGTTTCAGCTTTTAACCCTACACTACGTAGCTAGTGATAGATACGGGGTTTGTCTACATCAGCTTGTGTGTTACGGGCAGAGTATTGATCATGAAGAGGCTTATCTTGCCATCGTTTCTGCATTTGGTACATGCATTTGCTTTCTTTTATAGGTTCTTTGCCGCTGATGTAGGTGCATTATCGTTTATTTGCACTTCTTCAACCACTATTATTATTACTCTATGTTATTTTTCCTACTTTGTATCTTGGAGAGCCTGGTCTAAACTATGGTCCTTAGGCCCTATAAGAGAATTGCCATTTAATTGATAGAACTTTTCTTAGTATATGCGATCTTCCTAGCAGGGCGATCTTCTGGGCAACTTTTTACCTGGGACACTGTTAGTAAAATTCTCCATTCCTTTTCTCATGAGGTCCAGAGGTCAGATTACTATTGGTACAGTCTCAGTTTTCATTCCTTACATCCTGTTAAACGCGATCTCCAGGTCCTTGCATTTGGACAATTTCTCGATAATATTCATGGTGGCATTTCTCTCAGATGGTGCTGCTATGTCAATAAACATACACTTCCTGAATTTCTTGTCTTTTATGATAATATCAAGTCTGTTGGTTTTTTATTTCCCTGTTAGTTTGAACTGTCATGTCTCAGAGGATAGTTACATCGTTATTTTGGGTAACTGTATCTGGTTGGTAATCATACCATCTCTCAGTATTATTATTATTATTATTATTATTATTATTATTATTATTATTACATACATAATTTCTTAGGAATTAATGGAATTTATTTTTAATCCGACATTATTTCTTATTTATATAAATTGCTTTTATATTTTATTTATATCTGATATTTACACATACATACACGCACACATACATACATACACATATTATTTAAACATTGACTTCTATCCTCTTAGGAATTTATATATATATATATATATATATATATATATATATATATATATATATATATATATATATATATATATATTAATATTATATATATATATATATTATATATATATATATATATATATATATATATATATATATATATATATATATATCATATTATAAAACGGTTATTGTCAAAGTTGAAATAAACCAGGAAAAAAACTGTATAAAGAAAATAAAAATTTAACATGCAGAGCTTTTAATTTAAAAAAATGTCTGAAGATAAGATACCGAAAAGTTGAAAGCAAGGTAGCGTGATTGGCTGACCTCCTAAAAAAACTTAAATATATATACACATATTTATAGGTGTGTGTTTGTGTGTGCGTAAACATCTCAGAGACTTTATAACTGGAAGCATGTATGTGTGTATTAATGCATCTAGATAGATAGAGAGATAGATAGATAGATAGATAGATAGATAAATAGATCTAAACAGAATGTCATAGATAGATAGATAGATAGATATATAGATAGATAGATAGATAGATAGATAGATAGATCTAAACAGAATGTGATAGATAGATAGATAGATAGATAGATAGATAGATAGATAGATAGATAGATAGATAGCATGTTCTAAAGTCCACACGTGATAGGTTTGAGAATTCTAGCCATTTAAACTCTGCCTATTCATCCGGTTAATTACCAAATAATTATTTGATAAGGGAACTCACTCGAAATGAAATCCGAATTCTCACTTACCGAAAAAGCCCCCAAAGCAAAACAAGTCAAATACAATAAGTTTCTTCTATATAGAGAGAAAAGAAATAAAAACGAAAAAGAAGAAAAGGAGGAGTAGGAGTAGGAGGGAGAAACGACGAGTCAGAAAGATAAGAATAGAGAGGTGCAGAAGAAGATGACCAAGAAGAGGAGGAGGAGGAGGGGGAGAAGAAGGAAGATGAGAAGGAGGAGAAGGAATGAGGAGAAATAGGAAGAGGAAGAGAGGGGAGAAGAAGGAAGATGACGGAGGAGAAGGATGAGAAAGATAAGAATAGAGAGGTGCAGAAGAAGATGACCAAGAAGAGGAGGAGGAAGAGGGGGAGAAGAAGGAAGATGAGAAGGAGGAGAAGGATGAGGAGAAATAGGAGTAAGAGAGAGAAATGACGAGTCAGAAAGAAAGAATAAGAAGGTGCAGAAGAAGATGACCAAGAAGAGGAGGAGGAAGAGGGGGAGAAGAAGGAAGATGAGAAGGAGGAGAAGGATGAGGAGAAATAGGAGTAAGAGAGAGAAACGACGAGTCAGAAAGATAAGAATAGAGAGGTGCAGAAGAAGATGACCAAGAAGAGGAGGAGGAAGAGGGGGAGAAGAAGGAAGATGAGAAGGAGGAGAAGGATGAGGAGAAATAGGAGTAAGAGAGAGAGAGTCAGAAAGATAAGAATAGAGAGGTGAAAGAAGATGACCAAGAAGAGGAGGAGGAAGAGGGGAGAAGAAGGAAGATGAGAAGGAGGAGAAGGATGAGGAGAAATAGGAGGAAGAGAGAGAAACGACGAGTCAGAAAGATGAATAGAGAGGTGAGAAGAAGATGACCAAGAAGAGGAGGAAAGAGGGGAGAAGAAGGAAGATGAGAAAGGATGACGAGTCAGGAGTAAGAGAGAAAACAACGAGTCAGAAAGATAAGAATAGAGAGGTGCAGAAGAAGATGACCAAGAAGAGGAGGAGGAAGAGGGGAGAAGAAGAAGATGAGAAGGAAGAAGAAGGAGAAATGGAGAAGGAGGAGAAGGAAAGATGAATAGAGAGAAAGAAGATGAAGGAGAGAGAAAAGAAGAGTCAGAAAGGATGAGGAGAAATAGATAAGAAAGAATAGAGAGGTGCAGAAGAAGATGACCAAGAAGAGGAGGAGGAGGAGGGGGAGAAGAAGGAAGATGAGAAGGAGGAGAAGGATGAGGAGAAATAGGAGTAAGAGAGAGAAATGACGAGTCAGAAAGATAAGAATAGAGAGATCCAGGAGAAGAGGAGGAGGAGGAGGAGAAGGAGGAGAAAACGAGGAGTCAGAAAGATGAAAATAAAGAGGTTCTGAAGAAGAAGAAGAAGAAGAAGAAGAAGAAGTGGAGGAGAAGGAAGCGAGAGAAACGAGGAGTGAGAATAGATGAAGAAGAAGAAGAAGCAGAGAGGAAGGATTAGAAGAAGAAGAAGAAAAAGAAGAAGAAGAAGAAGAAGAAGAAGAAGAAGAAGAAGAAGAAGAACTCCTCCCCCTTCTCTTGGATATGAGTACAGGCTTACGCCTTGTTTCTTGTTTAGGAAGGGGGTTCCGGTACTCTCTCTCTCTCTCTCTCTCTCTCTCTCTCTCTCTCTCACTGGCCTCTGTATCTCCAGTTGCCTTGATCTATCCACTACTCTTGCGTCCTAGTGGCTTTCCGCCTTGCTTGGGATGAAACACTTAAAAAAAAAAAAAAAAGAAGAAAAAGAAGAAGAAGTACAAGATGAAGAAGAAGGAAAATGACAATTGCAAAACATAATGAATCAAAAGAAGTAGAAGACATTAAAGTGAAAGCAGGAGAATATGAAGTGAAGAAAGAAAATAAGGAATTTGAAGGATATGGTGGAAAAGAAATGAAAGAAAAAACAGAAGAAGGCGACATACTAAAAGCTAAGGGAAAATGTCGAAGAAAAATGACGAGGAAGAGCAGAAGACCAAGAAGTAACAGGAAGAGGATTGATTGATTCGATTTTAAGACTATCAACACTTTTCTGGTTATTTAAAGCCAGAAAATATTTTTTAGATTTTTAGAGGTTTTTTGAGGATAATAATAATTTTTGTGATACAAGTCTTAGCTTTTTTTTTTTAAAGCGTTTCTAGTCACTAGCACGCAAGGGGTTACAGATAGTTGGAGCGAAACCAAATAGAAGTGATAGAGAAAAGGATGAAAATAAGGATAGGGGATAGATCAAGTCATCTGGAGACGTCGATTGACATTATATTTGAATAGTTGGAGAAACAAGAAAAAGGGAAGGAGTTCCACAGGTGAGAGGTGCGAGACATGAAGCTATTGGAGTAGAAGAGACGGCTACATTTAGTAGTTTAGACAGTGAAAGGGTAAGAACGGGATGCCAGCCTCGGAGGGCGCTTGAATTCATGAAGTCTGGGAACCAGCGAAAGCAGAGCAGTTACCATGAAAGTATTTGTAAAAAAGACAGAGGGAGGCGTCTGTGAGAGAGCGACGACAGACGAGATGCCAGATCAGGGCCAATTAAATTGCATATCCGTCTCTGGATTCTTATCAGGAACCTTGAGACAAACAGAAGGGGCACCAGACCATATATGGCAGCAATGAAAAGGTAGATTCATACTTTTTTTTTCCCCCAAGGGTAGTTGCATATAAGTGAACATAATGAACCCAACTGGAATTAGAACTCGGCTCTCCGATTAACAATCCTGAGCCATTTTCTATTGCACCATCCGCACATCCACGCTTTCAGCACCTAGTGTTCCAGGTTATTAGCGCGTAAGCAACCATAACGAACCCAACGGGAATTGAAACTGAGCTCTCTGATTATCCATTACACCACCTGCACATCCAAGCTTAGAACACCTGATATTCCCAAGCGGTCACCCAACTAGGCACTGATCAGGCTCGACATTGCTTAACATCGGTGATCGTACGGGGACCGGTTTTGCAAGAAGAGGAGAAGCTTAAAAAATTTTAGTTTTGAGATAATAATACTTTAGTGATAAGATTCTTACTAATTAACCCATAGCTGGGGGAGAAGAGTGTATTTGCGCATAAGTGAATATAACGAATCCAGCGGGACTTGCAAGTGGGTTTGCTGATTTACATTTCCGTGATTTTATCCATTACGCCACCTGCAGATCCAAGCTTACAACACCTAGTATTCCCAAGCGGTTACTCATCTAGGTAATGACCAGGCTTGACGTTGCTTAACTTTGATGATCATAGCGGAACCGCTATTGCAGGAAGAGGAGAAGTAATAAAAGCAATATACTGAAAACGAGGTGAAAGTGATTAAGAAAGAAAGAAAGAAAGAGGGAAAGAAATTAGAAAGGAAAGAAAGGAAGAAAGAGATTAGAAAAGAAAGAAAGAAAGATTGAAAGAAAGAAAAAAGAAAGAAAGAAAGATTAAAAGAGATTAGAAAGATTGAAAGAACGAAAGTGATTAGGAAATAAATAAGAAAAATAAAGGAAGAAAGAAAGATTGAAAAAAGGAATGAAATTAGGAAAGAAAGACATTAGAAAAGAAAGAAACAAAGAAAGTGATTAGGAAGGAAGGAAAGAAAAAAGAAAGAAATTATTAAGAAAGAAAGAAGAAATGGAAGAAAGAAGAGGCTAGGAAAAATAAAGATATTAAAAAAGAAAGAGATTAAGAAACAAAGAAATAAAAAAGAAATAAAGAAATAAAAAAACCTTACGAAAGAAAGAAAAAGATTAAGAACGAAAAAAAAAAGAGTTTATGAAAGAAACAGATTACGAAAGAAAGAAAGTTATTAAGAACGAAAGAAATTAAGAAAGAAAGAACAAATAGGTTAAGAAAGAAATAAAGTAGAAAGTGATTAAGAAAGAAAGAGATTATGAAAGAAAGTGATTAAGAAAGAAAAAAAGAAAGAAAGAAAGAAAGAAAGAAAGAGGAAGAAAGTACGTTGCAAGTCAAAGATAACCCTGACCATATAAGTAGAAGCTGTTATCAGAATGTGTTCGAATATGGCGGACAAGAGAGAAGACGCAAGGAAGAATGATAATAAAAATTGATATCTTGAGTTACGGACGCAAAAAGGAAAATCGTTCGACAACCGTTTATTTAAGCAGAACAAAATGAAAAAAAACAAAAAAACACTACATTAATTACGCATTTATAAAAAAAAAACAAAAAAAACATTCTGATGATGTATTTCAAAGCTACTGCGATAAAAGATTAAAAGAAAATAGCCTCCTGCCTTTCCTTTCCTGAAAAAAAAAATCATCTCTTATCTTTAAAATATTTTTCGGGCTTCTTTCGATGGCAATTTCGGAGGCGAAGATGTCTTTAAATTCTTTAATTTCTCTAATGGGAGGAAAATACCCATCGTACCACCAACGAGATGCAAAATATAATGATTAAAAAAAACATCTTCACGAGGTATTTTATTATATATTCCGTAGGGAAGAAAAAGATTACATATCGAATCAAGCGCATTAAAATTGGAACATTTATAAAAAAAAAAGAAAAAAAACAGAGGAAGGCAATGTCACGACGATGTGAAATTAACTAAAGCCGAGATACCAGGTCAGAACTGATAACATAACAGACCCTTTCGATTTTGTCGAGATTTTCAAGATCTCTATCACCATCACAAGACCAGATATGATGCACGGACAAATGGAAGATTTATATATATTTATAGATTCTACCGACGAAAATTGCCTAACACACTGAACCAATTTTTCTAGCAAACAGATCTAATAACTTGATTCAATATAATCAGTTTTTCTAGCAAGCAGACCCAATAACTTGATTCAATATAATCAATTTTTCCATCAAACAGACCTAATAACTTGATTTAATATAATCAATTTTTCTAGCAAGCAAACCTAATAATTTGATTTAATATAATCAATTTTTCTAGGAAAACAGACCTAATAACTTGATTCAATATAATCAATTTTTCTAGCAAGCAGACCTAATAACTTGATTCAATATAATCAATTTTTCTAGCAAGCAGACCTAATAACTTGATTTAATATAATCGATTTTTCTAGCAAGCAGACCTAATAACTTGATTCAATATAATCAATTTTTCTAGGAAAACAGACCTAATAACTTGATTCAATATAATTCATTTTTCTAGCAAGTAGACCGAATAACTTGATTCAATATAATCAATTTTTCTAGCAAGCAGACCTAATAACTTGATTCAATATAATCAATTTTTCTAGCAAGCAGACCTAATAACTTGATTTAATATAATCAATTTTTCTAGGAAAACAGACCTAATAACTTGATTCAATATAATTCATTTTTCTAGCAAGCAGACCTAATAACTTGATTCAATATAATCAATTTTTCTATGAAGCAGACCTAATAACTTGATTTAATATAATCAATTTTTCTAGGAAAACAAACCTAATAACTTGATTCAATATAATCGTTTCATTTCATGTCAATAGAAAAGGTGAGACCAAAAACACGCATTGAGATGCCCTCCTGGAGGTTAGCATCAGCCATTTTGATAGGAGAAAAATGGTTTCGTTTTGGAGGCGTTACAATTTACAAGCCATTCCTTGCTCCGTTTAACAACTGATTGGAGGTCATTTTACGAGAGCAGCTTACTACTAAGTCAGGTGTTAATAGTCGTGTCACTGGCATAAATACCTACCTGGGAACTGATGACATCGGGAATGTGGTTGATGAAGCTAAGAAACAACGTATGTATAAGGATAGAACCCTGGGGGATCCCCACCCCCACATTAATTTGAAAAGAATTAGAAGCGTAGCCGTTCAAGCCAATAATCATTTGATGGTTTGTTAAAATAATACAATTATGTCAAATATTCGGTTAGAGACATGTCCCAATTTTAATGCTCTTGATTCGATATGCAACTTTTTTTCTTCACTACGGAATATAAAATGAAATAAGCAGTAAAGATGTCTTCTTTTTTTTTTTAGTTATTATATTTTGCATCTGATCGGTGGTGTGATCGGCATTTTTCTCTCATTAGAGAAATCTGGAATTCTTACTGGAATACTTAGAAGTTTTTATAAAACTATTTGGCTCCACTTTGAATAATAACAAAGTATTTAGCTCTAAGTTAAAATGATGATTCCTCTCCATATTGTAACCTCTTGATCCAGTTTTCTTTTCTACTGTTCCCTCCTTTTTTTAAGCTTATTCACCGTTTTCTTGGTGAAACTTGAATGGACTTTCAAAATGGAAGCCAGACTCTGAATGTTGGTACTATTACTGAAGGCATGAATGATCTTTTCCCTCTCACCATTGCTCAGTTGGGAAGACATAGTGGGGCAGACAAAAAACGATTTTATCCTGTTCTCTTTCTAGCTGAACAACTCAAAGGGTTTTTTCAATGGTTCTTACGACACATGGCGTCAAGATGACTAAACCGCTTATCTGAAAAACTGGAAAAAAAAAGAAATTCAATTAGTTTAGTGGGTTTTTAAATATTAAACATTTTGTAAATTGGACAATTATCCCATGTTGTTACACCCTATATATATATATATATATATATATATATATATATATATATATACAAGTATATAATTGGTGTATACGGAATGAATTCCAATAACCAACAACGTTAATTAATTTGAAACTTTTAAAATCATTAATTTTACATTCAACATCATCATTTGATAAAACACCGAGGGTGTTGAAACAAAATGGCTATTTTTGTAGTGATTTTATAACATATTTATGTTATAATTTTTTTAAAACTAATTATATATATATATATATATATATATATATATATATATATATATATATATATATAATACACGCAATCTGCCACTGGGTTGCGTGCCACTAGCATTTACCACTGGTTGCCTGCTGTCGGACCACCGACGTGTTCCTCTCGGCAATGTCACTACTGGCAAACCGCTAGAGGCCCCACCGGCGCCTGCTCCCAAAGGACCACTTTTGCGTGTATATATATATATATATATATATATATATATATACACCCAGCACCGGAAGATTGAGTTGTGCATGAATTGCCAAGTCGTGTTACCGTTGAGGGATAATATGTATATTTATTTATTGCGAGACATTTACACCAATATCCCTGTCCACATTCACAGTAAAGAAAAATACTGACTGATAACACAACTACCTTACACCTAGAAAATAACAAATTAGTACAGATCCTCGAAGCAATCTTCATTAAAAAGAAATTGAAGCCGACACTGAAAAGAATCAGCTACGAATACTGTAATAATGTTCTAAAATGCCGATAAAAAGAACAGTTTTCACGCTCTAATACGCGCTCGACCAGCAATTCATTTCAACAAAAATACCATAATGGATAATTTTTTCACGTTCTAATGAAAGTATAGCTGTCAGCCGTTAGATTCAAATAGTTCATTCATATAGTTTTTGCCTTACCAGTTGAACTGATGATGATGATTTCATAAAGAGAAGAGATTTTCACTGTTACAGTGCATTTCTTACCTTATTTGATTGTAATATACGGAAAATATTCGTGAATATGAAAGGATTATAATAAAAATGAGCATCATAATGCTTGTCAGAAATACCTAAATACACAAATATTTATTAATATATAATGAATAGCTCTGTTATTTTACATCGAGCACTATTTTATTAACACCAGCACTGCATGTGCATAGTCATATATATATATATATATATATATATATATATATATATATATATATATATATATATATATATATATATATATATATATATAGAGAGAATAGTCAGAGAGAGAGAGAGAGAGAGAGAGAGAAGATTAAACTTGATCCCTGGTTAACTTTATAATTTTAATCTTTTATTTTTAAACTTAACTGGTAACTTACATTTAATCTTTATACTGATTTCTAATTTAATCGTATCTTAACTTTAAAGCACTAATAGTTGATACTTATATATTATGTTGGGTTGTTATTTTAATTTCCATATACTTGTATTCTGATTAGTCTTTA